GCATTTGCGCCCGCCCCGTATTTTTCAATGTTAATCTGGTAGGTACGCTCCAAAGGATCGACTTCGTAAATTACTAAATCCAGAGCATTTACAATGGAAGCTTTAATAACTAGGACGTCTGCTTGATAAAACACATGGGGTTAAAATTCGTGGTTTTGGGATGATGCGGGCACTTCTTTTCCACAAGACTTTGACAACCTGTTGCGCTATAACATTCTGGATTTTACAGCGGTCGTCGTGAGCTATTTCGCAGGGTTGCAGTACTTGGGATATTGGTTCCGTTTGTCCGCAATTTCCGCGACCATTAAGAGAAGCGGCATCTGGAGGAGGGCGACCTCTAGCTCTACCAGCCTTAGTTGATAGAAGACCCCCAAATAGTTGAATTCCTCGGATGAAAACTTGTGGAAATATGCTCGCAGGTTCTCTCAGCCAGTGATGAGAAGTTGGGGTTGTCTGCATCCCAGGTAATTTACACCTACCGGCCGTGCTCAGGAGAGCTTCTTTCCAAGCTGCCGCTACTCTGATTTTATCCATGACGACATGATTGCCGACGTAAACAAGTGAGTTTGCAAATCGATGGATAGTAGCGGCCGCCGGATCTCGAATCGCCCAATGGGGTAAGAATTTACAAAATGCTTCTCAAACCGTGCTGTTTGCAATGGCGCTATGTTAGTAGTTAAGCATGGAACATCAAGTCCATAATCCCCGATAGAGGCGTGCAAGTATGCTATCGACGCATCCGCTGGTAAGCATAGCCATTTGCGGACATGGACGCTAACCAGTCTATCCATGTGTTTCAAGGTTTTCCAGTGTACCACAGAGAGACAGAGGGTATGAGTATTGCGAGGAATTAAGAATGTCCCTAAAATAGTCAATGGTTGATACGGTTTCAGTGGCGCTTTAGTAACCTCCTTCAGCTGTTTGAAAAGTTCCTCCAGAGAGAAAGGAGACAATTTTCCTTTCCAGTTAAAAGGAGGACAAAGCGATGTAAAACGTTTATCAGGTTGTATGGATGGGATTAAGAGGCTTCCACAGTTAAGGGGGACGTGTCAAGAACCGTCAATTTTCTCTTTCCATCCACCACAATATTTGAGGCAACAGATTTTAGTCCATTACTAGAGAGGCCGAGTAGCCATAAGCTTTCTTAAAGACGATGTAGGTGGTTCTCCAAGGCCGTTCTATTTTCGGCAAAATTGCTGACGTCCTCGGCATAAGCCAGGTAGTCGACAGGCCATGCTGGCGATAACTAAGTAGTGTCTGCTACTCCGTGAAGCACTTCATCTAGTGTCATGATATAAAGTTGGGGATAGGGGGTCACCCTGTTGAACCTCCCGTACGGGCTGAAGACTGATTCCGTTAAATGTCGAGGTAGCAGATGAATAATATGACCACAAGAACTCTAGGAGAACTTGAGGTGCACCAAATTCGGTAGCGGCTCGTAGCAATGAGTGATGAGAAACTGAATCAAAACCCTTTGGGATATCAACCACCGAGAAAGATAGAGGAGTACAAGTGGCATGCGAATGGTGCAAAGCACCGTGTAAAAAAGCCGAGGCCTCGAAACATCCGTCTTTACGTAAAAAGCCGAATTGTAACCCGAACGAATGAAAATGAAGGAACCTAACCATCAAAAATTTTCAGGGTGCAGTGGACGCATGAAGACCGATGTGACGGAGATAGGGCGAAGGTGTTCCGGAGAGGTCGGTTTTGAAAGCTTGGGAACAAAAATGGTGCTGGAAGCGTTCATATATGAAGGAAAAGGAGAGGAAGCGAACAGACAGCTAAGGAATGCAGCACGTCCTTTGGCCTAATGCGATCGACTCCCTGTGTACTGCCTTGCATGTCTCGTAGCACTATCTACACTTCGTCTTACGTAATTGGCTTTAGTAGATCAATCTTAGGAGGGAGAATGGTTCGAGGAAACCTTTCGTCGACTACTGGCGGCTGAGCAAACACTAGTCCAATACTCCGTAAAATTTGGAATCACATTGCCTTCTTGTAAGAATGCTGTTTGTCAGTGATCATCGATAACCGTTATAGCGGTATTTTTGTCGTATGTGGTAAAGCCACTGAAGGTGTCATTATTGTAGCCGCCGATGCTACCGATTATTCCTTAAGTTTTGCAGCCCTTTCCGATGCTTTGTTTATTTCCACCTATACGGGAAAAGTGTGGCACAGATGGTGTTTAATCGAGCACTAAATGAGGCTTTTGTATCTTCTATCTTCCTCTGTGAAGGTTTTCAATAAATATCGAAGTTGTGTATATGGTGTCATATCCTTAGGTTTATACAAAGCTATTAAGCGGCGGGCTTCCAAGGTCAAGGGTCGAAATATAATATCATTATCAAGCGATGAAGCGTATAGTTGATCACCCAAGGGTGTGGAGGTTTCAGGTTGTAGCGAAGAGGCTTCTCCAAGGCCAGAGACGTGTGGGCAAATTTATTACTTGCGTTTCTCCACAATAGGAGAGGGAGACAGAGCAAGTGGCGGAGCATCCCACTGATCTTTTTGAGCAGAACCCTGCGACTGTTGCGGTATCACTCTGTTGGGCAAAGGCTGCGAGTCCTCCGGAGAGCTCGCATGTAGTAGCGAGGGAAATACCAGTCTAAATGATATAAGCGTTTCATTAAACTGCTATGGGTCATTTTGGGGAATAACTGCTGAAGCTACCGAAGTAATCCTACTTGTGTTACACAGCCACAAAACAGTTCTGAAGCTCGATATGTTAGTCCTTTGTCTTCGTGCGGCATCCACCTGAGAGACTGAGCTGATAGACGTAACAAACAATCGGTGTTAAAATGTGAAGGATACATATGTCTGAGAGAGGCCGATTTTCGTACGAAATATACGACCAGATTTGGCAAATAAATGCTTGACCTCCCACGGTGGAGGACTGGATTAACTAATGATGTCAAGTTTCGGTGATGAGCCGCCAAATGCCGCTGTAGGTCACTTCCGGCGTGAAAAAGTCGGGGACATAAATTACAGCAGAACTACTGTGGACGAGTGGGATTGGATGTAGATGTGGATGGACGTAACGGGAATTGAGAAGTAGTATCAAGACTTCGTTGCAGTGAAGGATTTGAAGACAAAAGTGGCGATAAAACAACTGTAGATTGATTTGCATGACTCGGTGACCCTACAAGCGACGAATGACGACGGTTTCACAAGCTGAACTTGTGGTCAGGTAAGGCTAACCCATTAGATTCATTCATTTTAACACCAGCCAATCATGCCAAATAAAATCCAATAACCTTACTACCCCTTTTTTCAAACGTCATGGAAGCTATTATTTCCTATGCGCTAACGGCCTACATAGAAGAATTTAACTACCTTGCATGGAAAAGCATGGGTTTCGATGAAATCGACCATGCACTAAAAATCTACTACTCGTACGATCCAGCTGGCTGCAGATGTAGACTTGGCACAGAGGATGACGTAGCCTTTCTCGACTTCTTAAGGGCGTTCGACCGGTGGGACCATAAAATCTGCTTCTCATTCTACAAAGGTTTGATATTGCTGATCAGCTTCCAGGATGGATCAAAACGTTTTGCTACAACGGCGCTTGGAAGTAAGAGGGCGTGAATCGCTGTCAAATCACATCCGAGTTGAATACAAAGTACCACAAGGATTCGTACTAGGACCGCGATTATTTTTGTTGTATATTAACGACAGCACACGCCTCATAAACTAGAACTGCCTTCTTTATGCTGACGACATCAAGGTCTGGAAGGCGATAAATACACCAGATAATGTCACAATACTTCAAGCTGATCTACATAGGGTATACGCATGGTTAATCCAATAGCTACTTCGAGGTAATATGAACAAATGTAGAGTGCGTCACCTTCGGCACAAGTTGATGCACTCCTACCAACTCGGCAACCACGAGATTCAAAGGTCTTCTGGCTAGAAGCATCTGGGAGATTTAGTCCAAGTCGACCTTGGATGTTCGGAACAGGCTGAAACGGCGTCTAGGAGGTTAATGCAAAGCCTGGGACTCCTGAAGCGTGCATTCTGACGATACGACCCTTCGATTTCCTAAAACTTTGCAGCTCATACACGGACCACATGCGGAATAGGCAATGCATATCTGGCAGCCATGGCTGCGAAGAGGTCTCACGGCCTGGGGGATAACCCCATGCCGGGCAACCAAGAACCTCAAGGGTCTGTATAGGTTGCTGTACGAACGTTAGCTTCAAGTGCTCGGTGTCTTCAGCAGACAGTATCAACGATTGCGCGGGGATCTCATTTTGACTTACCACATTTGGTGAGATCCCAATCACACGTGCCGCTACTTACTCGAGCTCAGTCACAACAGCAATTTGCTAGGCCACTATCTCAAACTGGTGGAGCAGCACAGTCGCTTGGAAGGCCGAGGGAATTTATTTTCCGTACGCGTTTGCAGAACGTAGCGTGTCCTACTACAATCTGTCCTATGTGCTCCCATGCTAGCAGAGTGCAAATCCCGAGTTAACCGTGCACTTGTTTCGCTACACCATCTTACATGACCCATTAGCCATGGATAAACACAAGTGGCTGTAAGTAATTTCTTTGAAGATCAAACCACAGATTACATTCCGCGTATTTCACCGTCTCTATGTGTACATCAGGAGATATGATTTTTTTATCAACATCCCACTTGCCGTCATCATTTATGGATTTACCTTGGATTTACAGCTTATACTACGTATACCTCAGTGAATCCACCAGTGTAAGCCCAATTTTGCAAACAATTATTATATATCTTGAAGGTTCACCATAAACATCTTACGGGACCTCTTAAGCATTAGCTTTTTACCCGTATAAAAGTATTGTTTCCTTGTTATTTGGAGATCACAGAGCTCTTTTCTTACACAGATTACTGATATTGAAGAAAATGGGACGTTCCAAACAGCATAACCTGTACTTGTAAAATACATGTCTTGCAGAAACGTTATCTATCTGCACAGTGCAGTCCTAATATGCTCGCTATGATAACTAAAACTTGGCTTTCATACCTTGGGTTTCATGTCCCCATCCGACACTATAACATTCCTTTCCGGGTTCCAGCTCCTCTGAAGCGGTTGGTAGACAGGCGATATTGACAAACCGGCCAATGGGCACCGGATTCCTGAATTTGAGCAGGGCAATATCACCTGATTGACTTACAGCTGAATAAACGAAAATTATGAAATGGTTTCACTTTTGGCATTTAAATGACGAAAAGACTGAAGTCGATGTAAAAAATATGTTACGCTTACGCCTAGGTGGGTGAGCCTCTGAAATTCGCGGATTGGGAACCGAAAGTGGTTTACTGAACCAAACATATACCTGAAATAAAGCTTTTCAACATCCTGCAAGGACATCGTCACATGTGTTGACTTTTCCATTCATCACCTTGAAAGTGTCAACTATCCTACAGCTATTTTAATTGCTTATTTGTCGAAATAGTGGGGCTGATTGACCTGGTCGCTCAAAGTGCTGTAGCTACTTAGTACTGCTATCTAACTGAAAGCAACACACATGCCAAACAACTGGGTGGATGAAATCAGTAATTAAGTTGTACAAACTGGTATAACGAGAATTCACCAACTTTGCAACAACAGAAGGCTTCAAGAAGCTGTCGCTTACCATGATACCTAGGAAATACAAAAATCCTTTCTAATTCCATATCGTAATGAGGGAACGATTCGTCCAACATGTCGTGTTCCCCAACACGTGCAATCCATCTTTCTGGGTCTGTGGATAGGTCAGGATAGTCCCCATTGGGTCTGCAAGTTATCAGCAAAGATGACACGAATCAGATAACCGAACGGAATGAACACGGCTCTCTGGACGCCTCATTGTATCACACGACAAAAGTTAGACGGCCCAACATGACAGATTCAGGTTACTAGTTGATTCTTGCCTCATACACTCCGGCTCTAAGTTTGCTGATTGATTGTGTCATCGGCCGTCTATACTCGCACTATTGATCTGTAAGTAGACTAGTCGTTTACTTTCCAAAGATACTTTGGTGCTCGACCGCGTGGCCACGTGAAAGCAATGCTAATAAACTAGGATATATAGGTTGCTTGTAGATGAGTTAGAGTAAAATTGTTCAGGACAAGTCAATGAGCTAAGGGAAACCATAAGAAATTGAACTTTCAGGTGCACACGAAACATAACAAGAACATTTCGGTCACAGAAATGTTTAGACAACTTGTAGAGAACGACATTGTCCTGAAACCGAATGCCTATTTGAGCAAGAGTTAAGAAACATTGATTGTATAAAAGAAATGCGTTTCCTTACCATTGTCGTATAGCAGTTAGATGATATTCCGTAGTGTAAATTGCATTGCTGTTGGGTTGCGTGAATTCCTTTTCACGGAAAAAGTTTATGGTGACATGAAGCAGTGAAATAACTAGATGAAAATCATGCTGTAGTACCATTAGTTATGAACCAAAGTTGGAACGAATTTGCTGTTCTTCTAATCCAGCATGGTGACGGTAAAGCGTTAATATTAGCACTGGAGAGTTGTTCTTACTTTAGACATTGATCTTTTTCTCTTTCACTAAAATTGCGACTTCCAGCACATTTGTACGCTTACTGGTGCAACGGAAGCAGCGCTTGGAAGATTTGGCATACGCTCATATGAAACAACCGCACTAGATTATACACACAGCAACAACAAGTGGATGATTTTCTAAACATGCAGATCGGTATTATCTTGACTCTCACATTCCGCACTTCGAGTATGAACTTGCTAAAAGTGTGATATATTGATTTAGCAAACTCACTGAAAACAATGCGCTGCGGATAATGCCCACTGAGGATGAATAAGGGTGGCACCGCAGAGATGGAATATCCTCGAGCCGTCAGGAAGGTTAATTACCAAAGACCGAGGCATGAAAGGGCTTGTGTAATCGTCTTGCCCATCAGTGCCACTGGAACCTTTCCTGGTTAACCGCTTTGCTTGTTCAGCAGTCTGGTGGAACATGACAGAGATAAGCCATGGCCATTCTCCATTTTTGGAAAGCGTGCCTCCTACGATTCGTTTGCTGATAGCCTGCTCGGTAAAATATTTTGCCCAAAACTCGTCAAAGGCGGAGCGTCCACAGTGTTCCGGTATCTTTTCTGAAAACGTAAGAATGCAGAACAAATAGTTGAGAGGACATATACATTAACCGCACAAATATGAGAAATCAAAATTCATAAAAGTGTGAGTACTCACAGGATATGTGGACGTGGCATAATGGTGATTTACTAAATTGTTTGGAGGAGAAGAAAGTTTTGTTTTCAGCATACATGTATTTTTGTTTCAACACAGCCAGTATCCTAGCATTAGGGAAAATCTAGTTATCCGCAAAGCGATTTCTAATTCTACCTTACAAATAAGAACTATCATGAAGACTGAAGTGCGTCAAATTTAGTAAACCTATGGTTACGATTAAGTAGGATTAAGCTGATTTTACTTGTTCATTTTGCCGGCGATTTTAGCTTTGTAGTTGTGTTTATCCTCCTGTTTCAAGCCAATAGCAGATTACGACAGAAAGCAATGAATGAATGCCATACATTCAAAAGACTCTTTCGGAATTCCGATCCGATTTCCATACGCTTATGACTACAGTAATCCGGAAATCAGAGATAAGAGATGCCTTAATCGATTTAACGTAATAAGAACTGGTAGTTGGATGCCGTTAACTGAATGCTGAATTTTGGTAACAGTGAGAAAATTCACAGTTCTGTCACACATCGATAGTGTTTCGGCCAGGTGCGACCGTGTCGGCAAGAGAGTCCGTTGAGAGGTCATTGGGCGTCTTTTGACCATCCCAAGGGCGGCCGTTTAGAGTCCTGTTGGAGTCCCAACTAGACAATTTTTGGGCGCAAATAGGACAATAGAAAAAAATGCGCAGGAACACGGTTTTGAAATGCAGGCAAGCTACTGCGCACTCAGGCAACTATGCATTCCATGTTCCAAGCATGCCACTACTTAACTCGCGTTACCATGCGCTCACGTAACGACTGAAAAATAACGAAGTAAAATGCAGTTGGTTATATTTTCACCAACGATGCACTACCAAATACTACGTTAGTAAATGGAGTAGAAAGTATGCAGCATAATGTATATTCTTATTCTTTGTCGGAGCGTATTTATTCATAAATACCTGCCGTCCTATTAGAGTCCCGGCCTGGACTCTTTAGTGTCCAACGGGGCCGACAGGGGCGGTGTGCGTTTTTCTATCGGAGTGCGTTGAGCTTGCAGTAACAGTACGGAAATCCTGAAATCCTGCAATCTGTAATCAGCACAGGGGACGTCTAGGGATATCTCGAATATCGAAAACTAACTTTTTCGATTTGTTCGCGGGCAAACTGTTCCAAAATTTAACCACTCGACGCTGGAAGCAGAGGGTGAGGTATTCGCTTCAGGACCGCACTGTATGCCTGTATCGGTATTTTAGTGCTACTTGGTGTGCCCATGTGCACAGGTCATTTGTCAGTAGTATGACGCGGGTAAAAACCAACGATTGACAGAATGGTGAGTGACTTGTTTTTCTACTGTTAACAAGGAAACTGAAAATGGCGAGCTTTCAGAACAAAATTTGGTCTGTCTGTATCGTTTACATATGATTCTATGCAACTGGAAATGTCACCGCCTTTGGTTTTCCCAGAAAAACAAGTATGGGCATGTGTCCGTTATTTTACGAATGTGCGTTGATTCTGATGTGTTTTACCATGTGATTTAGCGCAACCAGCACATTGTCGACACGAGCTTCAAACCCAGATAAGGTAGGAGTTGAAATGACGGATTTTGTGAGTGAATTCCATTTGTGATAAGCAGATAGCATGAAGTCCGTCTACACAACAGTCGGTCGTACCGTTTCACCAGTTTGAGTCAGTGGCCCCCCAGTCTGTTGTTATGGTTGAGTTTCAGTAGTTAATGACAGGAGTCATTCTAGGTGGTTAAAATCTGATAAACCGTGGTGAGTTCACCTTACAAATGCTTGTATCGAATGAGGGAAACCCCAAATATATTCAGGCGCTGTTCGTAAGGTATAGCTGTTTGACACCTTTGGTATTGCAACGCTATAAAAGTTCCAAAACAGTAAGATCCCTTTTCAGTCATATCTGCCATGCTTTAATCGCACATTTCAATTACCGGCCTATCTATGCAATAGCAGTTGGGAAAAAATAGACGGGTCGAAGTGGACAAAAACTTTCGATGAAAGCCCCAAGTTTTAGATACCATTCTTAAATGATAATTCACATTGATCCGGACAACCAAGGTTTTCGTCGGATTTTCGTCGGAACAGTGCTGAAGACCTTGATCGCCCAGTTTATAGGCATGAACTATTTGTTATCGCAGATAGAGAATTTGACGTTCAGTTACATTAAACTGAAAACGATTTTTGTTTGACCATTCATACATCTTGTCTACGTCTACTTGAGTAAGTATGCGGTGGTCTGAAACTTTGATCGGCCGCCAAACTTTGACCTTGTTGAAAAAACCAAGCCCAGGGGAATGGTTAGGCTCACTAGATCGTCATCCAAAATCTAGGACAGCCGGGGCCCAAATAGCGAAACTTGTGGCATATCACTTTTCACTTTTGTAAGCTTTGATGCACATTGTCGAACTTTCTCTTCCAGGAGCCAGTGCATGATGAAGTTGCTGATCCGCCCTAGGAGAGGCTCAATCATACCGTATCCCTAAAGCTCATCTAGAAGGATGCACTTAGTTAACCGGTCGAACGCATAAGAGAGTCAAGGTAGACAACATCATCCAAGTATTCCATCGGTCTGACCCCTGCTAACAGTAGATTGGCATAGCACGATCGTTCCGGCGGAAGCCATGTTGCTGTTGTGCGATTTAGGCAGGTTCGTCAAGACATGAGTGCGTTAGCAGTGATAGCATCCATGACTTTCGAAAGAACTAGAAGATGAGCCCTTGGACGCGTATTAACTGGGCCGAAAAGCCTGCCTCTATTATAAATTGTAGTAATTATCACGCGTTCTCATGCAGCAGGTATAAGCATCTATTCAAGGCACTGCTGGATGAATCAGGCCAAATATTTGGCCAATTTCTTGACTGTTATGGCAAGCGATTTCGGACGCATATTATCATTTCCGGGAGGGCTGTGGGGGCGTATGGATAACAGTTTACTTCAATTAGATGTTGCTTGATATCCCCGGTGTGGCTGCGCTTGATGTGCATGTTGACAAGGTGCCTACTTGTCCATTACCCACTACCTCGTCCATATTGGCTCTAGAACACATTTGATCGTTGATAGAGAGAACTGGGTGCACGGTCCTTGTGGCAGTGTTAGGATCGAAGAAAGGTTCCATGCACCCAGTGTGGAGCGGACTACCGTCCAGTCACCGCCTTGTGTGTGCTTAATTCCCAACTACAGCGTGCTTGTGTTTGCCTGTGAATGAGAGTGGACCGGCTCCGTTGATGGAACGTGGCTCCCATCCACATATTCCCGGTCTTATTCCTTCAGGTTTACACTGGATATGGGGTGTGTGGATGGAGCTGTGGGTGGTGCAGCGCATGCCATCCATGGTCCCTCTGTAGGCGCAGGCGTCTTGTGGCTGGCATCATTGACAGGCAAATCCGAAACTGGATGCCGCCAACCATTAGAATCTGCGCAGATGTAAAAGAAACGTCATTGTAATTTAGCTAATTCGCGTTTTGTTGTCCCAATTCAATATCATTAGGTCGTGGAGCATCTCATTTTCAGCATTTGAACCCTCAATGATCAGCTTGTAGTCAAAATATTATTAACATGTATTAAACTGGTCACTTCTACTCAGGTGTGCCTTTTGTAAACCGAGAATAACCACTTTTATGGTATTTCACGCATGTAATTGATCAAATTCCGAGGAGATTACACAAGCGTCATGCTGTTAGTATTCGGTACTCACTACCTGGTCATAGTTTCCCCTACAGGATAAATTTCTACTCATTCACAGAAAAGTGTTCTTGAAGACGTTGTTGAAAGTTTCGATGCACATAGCAAAAGTCTACCCTTGTCATCTGCAAATTTGTGAGGGTTGGCATATCCAGTGAAAAAAACAACAATTCGAACAGCTTCCCTTTGCTTTCCTCATGACAGAGATTAGGCGAGCGGAGAGTTGTGCGTATCAACAGCACCTGGAGTTCCGATTGTACTCTTGCTTTTTTTACTTGGTGTGAAAGCTTGACGCGCACCGCTTAAAAAGTCGTCACACTGAGAGGTTGGACGTTCAAATACCACCTTTGAACTTTTGGTTCTCTAGTAACCTGTGCTCCAAACAGTTACCACTCAAAAGTAAAGCAGCCTTAGAATTGTTAATTTTGTTTCACTCCTGTCACGTGTGCACTGAAGGTCAGTTAGATGGACAACACACGCAAACACACGCACGCACGCACACACCAAGCTTATTGTGTCGTCACTGATGGTATGCCGCAATATCAGTTGTAGATTACAGTGTCCTCTCCAGAATTGTTCTCGATACTGTGGGTTCTGAGGCCTATAGAACATAAGTTCACATACATTAGTTACCGGGACTAATACGTATCAACTCCACTGTTCTGCCTACATAGCAACCGGTTGCGAAACATTTCTGTAATGTAATATCTCTCCCTAAGAGTACTTTGCTGATTACTGCCATGGCCATTCTTTAAACTCTCATATGTATAATAAGCTTGGATAGAGCTGTACGTAAGAAATCGTGTTTTCATCTTGTTGATACCCACTACGCTTTATCCAATCGCTTTTTCGGGTTCAAATTCTATCAATGTATTCACGATGGCAGTCTAAATCTTAGTTAGCGTTACCCCTCTGTAACATGTTAAGTGTAATAGGCAGAGTTCACAGTAGACTAGATCGGCAATTTTTGTTACGATTTTATCACATCAGTAAAGCCTGTACCACTTTACCTTGTCGCCCTCATTGTTTCTAACGCATAGGAACGAATGCACGTCGTCCTGACACCAAGCAGAAAAGCTTTTGGGCCTCAAACTTTGGATAGTTCGTACTAAAACTACCCCACCAAAAATTGCTCCAGGCAACTCACTCATCATGAAATGTAAAGCTAATGCGTCATGAAGCCTGTAACAATTAATACTTCTTTCGGTGTGCGTACAGTGTCTTGTG